AGGTACCCTGCTCCACCAGGAAGCCTCCTGTGCACAGGCACTCAGCTCTCTCACTCTATGGGTCAGCTCCAGCGCTGTCTGGCGCTGGTCTCCTGGTTCTGCTGCTGTGGGTTCTCTGCCGCTTCAGCTTCTCTGCTGCTGTCATTTCTCTGCTGCTGCTGCTTCTCTGTTGCTCCCAGTCCTGTATCCATTCACAGTTTCAAAACCACTTCCACATTTTAGGTATCTGTTAGAGCAGCATCCCACTCCTGGTACCAAATTCTGTCTTAGTCATCTAGTGCTGCTATAACAGAAATACCACAAGTGGATGGCTTTAACGAAGAGAATTTTATTCTCTCACAGTCCAGTAGGCTACAAGTCCAAATTCAGGGCGTCAGCTCCAGGGCAATGCTTTCTCTGCTGGCTCTGGAGGAAGGTCCATGTCATCAGTCTTCCTTCGGTCTGGCAGGTTCTCTGCACAGGAACCTCAGGTCCAAAGGACGTGCTCTGCTCCCAGTGCTGCTTTCGTGGTGGCATGAGGTTCCCATGTATCTCCGCTTGCTTCTCTCTTTTATATCTCAAAAGAGATTGGCTTAAGACACTATCCAATCTTGTAGACGTCATCAGTATAACCTCATCATAGTGATAGAGTTTACAACACAAAAGGAAATCACATCAGATTACACTATCATACAATACTGGGAATCATGACCCAGCCAAGTTGACCGATACTTTGGGGAGACAAAATTCAATCCATGACAAGAGGTAAAGGCAGTTTGATGGTGGTTTTACTGGCCAGCCCAGCCGAGCTGGCACTGACTCCATACACAGGGAGGCAGGACTTCACTTCCCCTTGCTTCAGCCAACCCTTGGCTCTCAGGAGACAGCTGTGTTACAAGTTTGACCCGGGCAGGTGCCAGGGCCTTGATCTGAAGTGGACACTGCAAGGCAGGGCACAGGCAGGGTCTCTTCTTATCTGATTTGGCCATCAGGGGCTCTATAATTGGGGAAAGGCTGAGTCATCTTGCCTCTGGACAAGGTGGCTATAGAGAGAGCTATGCTTTCTTGGGAGCCTGGACAACCTCTGCTCCATTGGACATGAAGGTGGAGGAAAGGCAGAGGGAGGAATCTGCTTATACCTGGTGAAGATAAACTGCCCAAGGGCTCTGGTGGGCTGGTTAGCTGGATCTCTGCTTCAAATGTTTGAAGAGACATTTCAGGAATTAAGTAAGGAAGGAGGATTTATGAAGAGCGTCTCTGTGGAGTGAGCTGTGCTCTGAACCCCATTCCTCAAAATGGAGGGGTGGAGGGTGCCACTCACCCCACGTAGTGGGGATGGGCTTCAACAGAACCCCTAGGAATGCTTGAAACGTGTTCCTTGCAGTTATGGGGACACAATGATGAGAATCAATACACCCAGAGGAATCTAAAGGTCCGAGGCTATGGCTCTCAGCCTGAGGCTTCAGAGCAGGGAAAGGGAGAGATAGGTGCTGCCCTGCTGATAAAAAACACAGACTCATCTTTGACAGTGGGGCAATGCCACATGAGCCTCTGGGAGCAGACAAGTGACCTATAGAAGGAATATCAGCTTGGAGTCACTTAAAAGGGATCCTGCACAAAATGGCAGCCTGCAGGAAGAGAAACCCCAGTAACGAAAGGCTAGGGCAGTGGGGTGGGGGTGGGGGGGCACTGGACTAGAAGAGGCACAGTCCCTGACAAAGTGAGTGGTGGTTAGAGGGCACAGGAGAGGACCCTCCAAAGACTCAGAAAGGTTGCTCAGATACAAGGAGTCTTAAATACCAGTCAGGCCCAGAGAGCTTGGAGCAGGCTTACAACCTGCCCTGCTGTACCCTGTTTCCTTTCCTCTTCCACTGTGCAACAAGCCAGGGAGGGGAGGAGAGAGAAGGAAACCCACTACCATTTTTGGAAGGAAGGTGACCCAATAGCAGGACCTAGCTGGGAACGAGGAAGAAGTGTTACCTTGAAATAAATGTTGATTAATATGCTGAACTGGACATGCTAATTTCTGAATTGAGACTGTGTGACTTAAAGTGAGCTGGAAAAGTCATGAGGGCTGGGACATTTTAACCAGTGGCAGAGGACTGTGAAAGCCACAGAGAGGTGTTTAACTACATCCCGTGAGTTCCGCTAGTTTGTCACAGCTACATTCGTAACTCATTTACTGTTGAGGTGAGATTACGTAATTTACCCATCATTGAGCTAATCAGTGGGGGAACCGAAACTGGAATCCAGAGCTGCACCACTCCAATGCTTGTGATAAAGGACAGGGATGTACAAAGGCTAAAGAGCAGGCAAGATCCACCTCTGGGGAACAAGGACTGGTGGCTACTGAAGAAGGCATCCTAGAAAACGGGCTGGAGGCTGTGTCTCGAAGGCTTAGCAGGAGCTGAGCACGGCAAGGCGAGGTCTGTGGGGAGCCCTGGTTACCAGGCCCTGGATGGGGTTAGCGGAGGTTTTATAGGATGGTTTCTCCCACTCACTCCAAACAACCCACCTCCCTCCTCCAGCTCCTCACACCCTCTTTTTCATCCTCCCCCACCTCCACCCCAGGTTTCCTAAAGAAGTGGTGGGAGTTACGGGTGTGGCTGCTTCTCTTGATCTGAGTTTCCCTCATCCCCATCTAGAGCTTCTACAGTTACTGCTCATATTAAACAACAACAAAAAAAATCAAACCTGTTGCCGTCGAGTCAATTCCGACTCGTAGCAACTCTGTAGGACAGAGTAGAACTAACTGCCCCACAGGATTTCCAAGGAGCGGTTGGTGGATTTGAACTGCCAGCCTTTTGGTCAGCAGCTGAATTCTTAACCACCAGGGCTATTAGTCACTAATTATTTAATAACGACCACCAGTTGCTATGGCGTTGACTCCAACTCATGGTGATTCCACGCGTGTTACAGTAGAACTGTGCTCCATAGGGTTTTCAATGGTTCATTTTTTGGAAGTAGATTGGCAGGCCTTTCTTCAGAGGTGCCTCTAGCAGCTGAACATTAACCATTTGTGCCACCAAGGCACTCCTCATTGTTGTTAGGTGCTATTGAGTCGATTTTCATTTATAGTGACCCCATGTGACCAAGTAGAACTGCCCCATAGAATATTCTAGGCTGTAATCTTTACGAGAAGAGACTGCCAGTTCTCTCACAAAGTTGCTGGATGGGCTTGAACCTCCAACCTTACAGTTAGCAGCTGAGCACTTAACCGTTGCACCACCAAGGCGCCTGTTAAGGGACTCCTAAGTGTACCTAACCCCCCCCACCAAAACAAACAAACCTGTTGTTCTCGAGTCCATTCTGACTCATGGTGACCCTATGTGTTATAGAGTAGAATTGCTCCATAGGGTTTTCTTGGCTGTAATCTTTATGAAAGCAGATCGCCAGGCTTTTCTTCAGTGATTCATTGCTAGGTGGGTTTGAACCCAGCAACCTTTAGGTTCATAGTCAAGTGCAAACCATTTACATCACCCAGGGACCTTCCAAGCGTACATAAAACAAAAACAAAACCAAACCACTGCCGTCAATTCCGACTCATAGCAACCCTATGGGACAGAGTAGAATTGCCCCATGGGGTTTCCAAGGAGCGGCTGGTGGATTCAAACTGCCAACCATTTGGTACATAACACCAAAAAACAAACCCATTATCGTCAAGTAGATTCCAACTCATAGCAACCCTATGGGATGAAGCAGAACTGCCCCATGGGGTTTCCAAGGAGTGGCTGGTGGATTCCAACTGCCGACCTCTTGGTTAGCAGCCAAACTCTTAACCACTGCGCCACCAGGGCTCCATTTGGTACACAGAAGGTATTAATAAAACAAGGTTAAGTTACCTAATTGGCTGAAGAAAGCAGTCCTTCTTTTAATTCACTTAGATCTTTCCTGATCCTCTATTACTTTTCAAAAGATTTTTGAAAGATCCTGAATTGGCAAATGTTGTGTTATCTATATTTTACAACTAAAAATAAGTAAGTAAATAAATAAAAAGTCTCTTTGGATTTGATTAAGCTAATGAAATAAGAAATTCTTCTAAAGTGTGTGGTGTGTACCCTAAGTATTACCTGAGGGGTAGTCTGCCATCTTAAAACTAAACAGTGGAGAAATCTTTAGAAAATGTTTATGATCTGAAATACTCAACAAATTTCAATAAAATTTGTTCCAGGAGTGGTACTTAAAGGAGGCATTTTTAATGGAGGCTGCAGTCTAGAACGACTAATATTAAAGACAAACAACAATAAATAAAGCAATCAAATTTTTAATAACAAAGATACTATTTTTAACATGGTCAAATATACTTGGCTAAGTCCAGATTTAAAAAAAAAAAAAAAAAGCATCTAGCCCAACAGTACAACCATACAGCTTTGTACAGAACATTCCATAGATCAACAGAAAATACATTTGGGCACAAAAATAAAAAATATTTAAAGAGAATCTCTAAGCAGCATTTTATTTCTGCAAAACAGACATTATCCTGTGCTGATCAAATATCTACAAGTGCTTCTCCTTTACAAAAATACATATATTCTTAATAGACTAAGTCATTAACAATGACCTGGTAATTCTTTCACTTCAATTTGAATGATTGATAAGCTAAACCTTACAACCACAAAAAGGTTTTTATTTGTATTAAGATGTTACCACTTTTGACAAAAAGCTTAAAATATTTTATATTTTCAAAGTAAATTAGCAACATAACTTTACGATACAGTCTATGGTATTTTTCTTTACCATGAGGGCTACTATACTACAAACTGAAGCTCACTGTTGTGTTTACCAGATGCAGGAAAGCAGCGGTACACTGGTACGCCCCCCACAAGCTCTTGTCTTAGACCACAGCTTCATAAGGACACTTAGGCCCCCACCCCCACCCCCCTTCTAAAAAATACAGCAAAAGAAAAAATGAAACTCATTGCCATCGCGCCGAGTTTGACTCATAGCGACCCAAAAGGACAGAGTAGAACTTCCCTATAGGGTTTCCAAGGCCGTAATCCTTATGGAAGCAGACTGCCACATCTTTCTCCCGTGGGGCGGCTGGTGGGTTCAAACCGCTGACCTTTTGGTTTGCAGCCGAGTGCTAAACCATTGCACCACCAGGGCTCCTTAGCAAAAGAAAACCAACTCCAAACAACTTTAGGCTGATCCCATTACATCTTTAATGTGTAGAACTCCTGCTTCAGTGGACTGATGTGAAGCATATGAATAAATAAATCTGTTTACTATCTCTACACTATTCAGAAATATTTAATCTTCATTTATGCTAGGTTAGTTTCTTATTCCATGAAGTGCTATAAAATGGAAGAAGACTAGACCCAGTATTTAACGTATATGTGTTCACTTGATTCAGAATTTAAAGATAATTAAAATTAAAAAGCATTTCTGAAAAATCAGTCTGTTTTGAATCTTAGAAAATGGGGCGTAAATGTACACAGACATTTTAATGAGCATTTAAAATAATTATCTTTATGTTCAATTTAATAACTTTCTGAAAAAGAAATGCTCAACTGTTTTAATTCTATTTGAAAATACAACAAGGACAGCAAGTAAACACACTATTTGTGAAAACTATATTACACTAGGAAGAGAATCTCTTTTAAATTATTGGAAAATGCCATTGCTTTAAGAAGAACAAAACTATAAAAACCCTGTAATGTATATTTAAGTACAGTTTGATGACATTTCAATCCGATGTTTTCCATCAAAATACTACTGACCTAGGTATATCAAGTACATCCAGAGATGGCTGGTTATTTTGTGCTTCAAAAAAGTTTGTCTATAGTGTAATGTTTTTCCATTTTTCATAAACCAGACCCAGCAGACATTATGTTCCTATTGCTCCCCAAACTGTAGAGATACCTATCTTAAAATAATGACAACAGCACTTCAAATTTTTGTTTCCAATCCAGAAAATTAAAGTTATGGCAAATTCATTCATTTTTCAAGTTCCTACAACCAACCAACATCTTACTGGCATAAAGCTTAGCCAGTGGGAACATTCCTTAATGATAAACCAGAGTATGGAATAGAGTATGCATCCATTTTTGTCCTGTCTAAGAAAGTTTATCTAGTCACCTATCAGAAAGACTTTATGAGTTTTCCTTTAAGGTGGCCCATAGCAAGGACTCCTAAGGAGAATCATATAGGGAGAGCATATAACTCCCTCTTGATATATATGCTCTTGTTCTGTGATCCATTTTGCCAAATCTGGTGTTATGGATAAATTCTAGTAAAAATAAAAGTAATTGCCGAGAAACAAGACAGAGTTGCTTTTGAAGGAAAAACAAAATGGCAGGCCCTTAGTAAAATTTTTCTTTTGAATACAGAAAAAGCACTTCGCGTAAGTCCAATAGGATGTACTATTTTCTATATAAGCATATCAACATTTTAATGAAGCTTCTCTTTAATAAAATTTTTCATATAGCTAAGAACCCAAGAACAAAATAAATGCAATTTAAGTTTATACTGCTTCCATGGAATAAAAAGCTTCTCAAATTAAAATTTAAAATCTCAATTTCAATTTTCTTTTCAAAGGATACAGTTTACTCACTTATCATCTAGAGGGAGGCTATTTGTTATCATCTAAAAAAAACAAACAAACCATTGCTGGGGAGTTGATTCTGAGTCATAGTGACCCTATAGGACAGAGTAGAATTGCCCCATGGGGTTTCCAAGGAGCAGCTGGTGGATTCAAACTGCCAACCTTTTGGTTAGCAGCTGTAGCTCTTAACCACTGCACCACCAGGGCTCCCTATTATCATCTAGAGGGAGGCTATTTGTTGTGTTGATCTCTTTCTCAGTGTTAAGGATTTCCCAAGATCTGTCAGATGGTGCTGAAATACACTGAACATACTTCAAACAAAGTGTGCTCTGATTATTGCCAGAAAATCCTGCATTTGACTGATCTCACCAAGAAAATTCAGTTTAAAGTCTTTCTTTGGTGAATATTTTAGCAATCAATCAAGGTTATTGCCTAGCTTTATACAATTAAATTTTCCAACCTCTAAGCTGTTAAAACTTTCTCTGACATGGTTATTAACAGTAAAATGTCTTTGGTGATACCTATTTTCTTATGTAAATCTTTTAAAAAGAGATTAATTTATAAGTGCTTATTTAGATACAAACCCATTCATAAGAGACAGGTACAGATAACTAAAAAATTATGCAGTAAATCTAAAACAGAAATGCACTTTAGCAATGAGGCACTTTCTCTTAAATATTTTCAATAAAGCTAAACAGTTCATAATACTATATAAAACTAGTTCTTTCTCAAAGAATCAGCTTAAATTTAGGTTATATTTGAAAGTGTAGTATGAATGAGCATACTCATTACATTTATCAAATGTGGAATATTAGTATGGAATAGATTTTCAATGAATAAAGAAATAACATACTTTCTAAAAGTAGTCAAAAGACACTTCTCAAGTTATCTCCACCCCAGACTGAATGAATAACTATTACCTCATCAATAAGCGTTTTATTTTCAATCTTCCTAAAAGCTTCTTGGTCATCTAGAGAAAAGGCCATATTCTGATTTCCCTATTAAATGATGTGATTTACTTCAATTAAAGTGATGTCTATAAACCACAGGCATTTTTTATATCCCAAGTTCACTGACCCTTTTACATCTATGATTTCTAAGGCAGATAAAAACAGATTACAAAATCTTTTACAGAAGTCACGTTCTTTCAGTTTATTGCTTAAGAAACAACAGTTTAAAGAAAAAAATTAGTTTTATTTATTCTCCAATTTTACAAACTCGGATGATTTTTACTATGGGTTATTTAAAGAATCTGTCTTACTAAGCACCCTACATTTATAAAGTTAACCACAAAAATTGCCTGTACACTTTTTCTATAGCTCATTTCCTGCAAATTCAACAATCTGATTTAGCGGCTAATTAATGGGGATTCAGTGGATTACTAGACATGAAAGTAGTCTATTGTAGTAGAAAGTCATAGCTGAAGATAGCAAAAGAGGTCGGCTGAGGAAGCTCAGCAGTTCTAATAGTACCACTGTACTTGCTCAGGACCATTATAAATGTGTACCTTTCCCCAAATGACAATCGATGTTCTTCTCTGTGTATGGTTTTCACATGTTTTGGCACATATTCATTTCAATAAAAATGCTAACACATTAACATTAAATAAAGGAATTTTATATAAAACTATTCCCAATTCTATAATCGCTTCCTATATATTTCCTTGGAAAAATATTGCAACTATGTATAATCAGGCAACAGACCAAATTTAAAAAGCTAATGTATATAAAACTCATTTAAAGCTGTATGTTTTGGCTGGGGACCCAAAAACATCCAATTCCTATTCGTGGTTTTAAAAATGTATTCTTAATTCATTCTGAATTAAAATTAATTAACTTTAATATGTAAAACATTCTTTATTCACAGACCTATGTGTGACAAATTTATAATAAAATATTAAATATCTTAGGGATGTCAGGGAACTGAGTTTCGCAGCATAACAAAATAATTTCTGTAGCTAGGTAGTTAGTATACTGAGTTTTTGGTTGCGTGTAAAGATCTGTTAAAAATCTGCCTTTTAAAATCCCCTTGTGAGTCCTGCCAAGAACAAACACAATCTGACAAAGTGAAGTTAGGAAAAGTATTGCCATAACCTTTTTGACAAAATTCAGAAAAACAGAAAACTTTAATACAGACTTTTTGACTTAAAAAAAAAGATACAATGAAAATATAATCATGAAGTTTTGGCCTTTTACATTATGAAATACATCAAAATTTTAGCTGTATTGGTATATGTTTCTTAGAGCTGTACAATGCTTTATTTCTAAGAAACATTTTGATATTTCGAAGGCATTAATTTGTGATACATTTTACTCGAAAATATAGCACATCCACCATGTATACAGTATAAAAACTATGTGTGTAACACACAGATTGTGCTCACGTCAGATTTCTAAAACAATTACTCTTTCTAACTTTTAAGATTTTTTCCTAAGTTTCAGAGGTTAACTTGTTTGCTTCAAAGCAATTAAAACTTATCTCCAAAGAAGGTTTTTGAAAACAGTTATAAATTTTAAAAGGTTTACTTTCTTTGACTTGCAGATGAATCCCAAAATGAATGGAAGACTTAACAAAACTGCAAAATCAAGGACATTATCACAGATCTGACCTTTATGAATTTATACATAAAACAATAATCTCATTTCCCTTTGATTACTACAGATCTACAATGAAATATCCTCAAACCAGTGATTTTGGTTAGCATACTCATCTACTATATTGCATTTATTCTATTTTATGCATGTGGTCTGGAAATAACGATAGGTAACTAACAGTTTTAATCTACCACTGCTTTGAGACTTTTGAAATCCATAAAATAGCTAATGTTATCTGCTCTAAAAATCCTAATATTTAAAATCATCACAACCTTCCGCATGCCACAATGACACACACCTAAGGCCAACTTAAAAAGTGAGACAATGTCTTCAGTAAATGAGAGCAACGATGTGATGATGTATACATAAGATGGGCTACACAATGAAGTTTCATGAAGCAGCACCCGCTTGTCATAAGGCATCATGAAAGAAGATTAACCTTACTCACACATTAATTTTATTAGAAGTAAATGTGATCAGCTGCCAGCATTTCATATGATTGTGAATCTCACTTCAGTTTTCCAAAAAGTCACACGCGTTTTCGATCAGGAGGGCTAGCGTGCCTTCCTTGTGCAACTGGTGGGCTACACAGACAGGTAACTTAAAATGTCTACAAACGTGATGTGCTCTAATGTTAAAGAATAACTGGAACTCTTTGCAAAAGGATTTGCACACTCAAGAGTGAACTATCTTGTACACAAAAAGCTTACCAAGAACAATACAGTGGTTCAAAAACCACTTTTCTAAATACGTTTCCCATACAAAATAATTTCAAGATATTAGTTTCTTGTATAGTACTCCATTTAAACAAGAATTAATAAAATAGTAAGTATGTGAAAACTGCAACACCACAAAGATTGAGCCATTTTATTAGTGTAATCAAACATTAGAACAATCTTGGTACAGGCAAGCAAAATATCCCGAAAGCTGAATCATGGCTGCACACCTAACCAACTTCAACAATGGGACGCGCTGTGTGAGACGGCACAGATACCTTCTGCAGACAGTTCAGTAGCAGAGTATGGCACTTGGTTTGCTCTTAATAGAAACAACATAGATGCAACTGACAATTGAGAGACAGACAATGGCCTTATTTGCATGCTGAAAATCTGGTTGTGTCCCTCTAGTCCACACACTGTTCTTTGTGCAATCTGTCGATGAGTAAACAAAGAGTGCAGGATTCATCTCAGTGGGATCTAGGCCCCTTGGTCTAACCGAAATCAATTCTTGGTCGATACTGCAATACCATGGGGTATGACTATAAAATAAAAACAGATGATGAATAAGACCATGTGGATATAAAAAACAATATAGATAGTTTATATAAAAAAGATTTTAAAAAACTGGGGTTATAATCTACAGTATTTCCTGGTACTAGTGATTATGACAGTTAAGATTGTAATTACCATTAAACTCTATTTTTTTAATTGCCATTATTTTTCTAGAGTTAGTCAAATTTTCCATAATATGCAGCAGAGGTCAAACTCAAAGGCCTGTGGCCATTATACAGGTCCCATATGCAAACTGAAACAGTGCAATACTTAGGGAGAGGCAGGGCCTGTGGAGGACTGAAAGCTACATGCCCTGCTTAAAGGCATTCAACTACCGACACTGTGGGGGCCAAATAAGACATGTCCACAGGCTGGATTCCACCAGAGCTGCTGCCTGAGAGCACCCTCTGAGTTACAAACTAACAAAAAGACTTCCTGCTATGAATATATGAAACTGGGGTAGTTTTCACAAATCTTTTTTTTTTTTTTAACAAGTTTTATACTTTTTTCTTTTTAGCATTTAAAATTTGTTTTAACAGTTCTTTAAAAATGTTGAAAAACAAGTAGCTAATTGTTACATGAGACATTTAGGTCACTGGCTGCTTTCAATAGTTAGTTGATACTGTTAATTATTTGGATTTAACTATTATATAACTGAATGGTTCATATTATCCTTCCTATTGCTCTGACAATGTAAGAAAGATATCATACATCTGGCTACTCTACAGTACTCAAGAGAAAACCACTTCCCGCCAGATAAAAGGATATGCCACACAGCTACGTCGGCATCTGTTTTTACCCTCTACTTTACCATATTCAAGCAGAACCAAAATGCCACAAAGTCAATAGGGGTCTGGAGAACCAATGGTTTTCCTTTTCTTAAAGCTGCAGATTCCTCTTTTCAAAATGAAATTTTGAGGAGCTCCTTTTATCAAATTGAGAAAGGGTCTGAGATGGTCACTGACTAAGGTTTCCCCTTCATCTTAGTGTAGGTGAATGCAAAAGACCAGTCCAGAGAACAGTATTTTTTCATCTAGAGAGAAGGACAGAGTGAGATTCTACAATGCCCAAAATGCACTTATTATAGCTATGTTACAGACTGAGAAGACTCAATGCTGGAGTCTCCTTTACCACTCAGCTCAGGATGGGACTGGTGGGTAGGAATGACAACACCCCAGGTCTTACTTTCCCAGCTGAAGGACCAAGGCAGATGCTACCACTCATGTTCTAAGGGCTAGATGGAGTAAGAGTCTCAGTCTCTTTTTAGGGCTTCCAGGGTCTAAAACTATTTTTCTTTTAATTTTGTTTTAAACTTTATTCTGTTCCCTCTGAATCAGAGTATCAGAGAGTGGGACACACAAATCTGCATTTTACAAAGCTCCCTGAGTGTCTCTGAAGCTTAGCCAGATTTGGAGACTACTAACCTAAACATCCTAACTTTACTAAATCCTATTCTACTTTACTCCAATTCCCAGTTTGTCCCTCATTATAATATCTTTCTAGCTTTACTTTCCATTGCTGATTGTTCAGTCTGTGTGCTTTCTGCAAATAACCAAGTCACTCATATTAGAGTACCTTCATAATATACAGAAGTATACATCAACCATTCTTCCAGGGATGAAGAGAAGGAAGTAAGACAGCTTGGCTAACATTACAAATAATTTGGAATTTTCTCAGTTTTTGGCTAAAAAATGTTTTGTTCTCCCCACCAAGTAACCATTTGCATTTGTTCTATGATAACATATGAAACTGAATAATTTTATTGAAATTTGTTACAATACTGGAAATTATTACGATATACTTTAAGTTCTATTTATGTTTCAGTGTGCTTTCTGAAGTAAAATGGAATCACGCTTACTATAAAGAAAATATGGCACATCGCTACCTATTAGGATTAAGTGATTACACTGACTGGACCTACATTTCAGAGTTGCTAGTCCTCAGTCTCATCATGTAATAAAAACCAAAAACATTTCAAATATGGCAATTCTATAAAATGGCAGAACTTTAATTGATGTACTTTTTTCTTTTCTTAAAAAGTAAATTTTTTTTTAATCATAGAAGTAATCTGTTTTTACTGTAGAAGGTTTGAAAAATATAAAAAAGCACCAAGAAAGATGCGAAAATTATTTAAATCTCATCATCCAAAAATAATCACCATAGTCACTTCAGTGAATATCGTTCCATTCTTATCTATGTACATATTTTTTTAAAGTTGGAATCAAGCTACACATATTTTATAATTTTGTCCACTTGAAAATTTCTCCTTTTGCTGTACATTTCAGTTTATTTCAATTTTTTTTTCTATTATAAATTAACATTGGCTCAGTGGCCTATTTTTTGTCCCCCAGGATAGGTTCCTAGAAGTAACTGCTGGTTTAAACAGCATACACATTTATATACTTTTTGATACATACTGTCACACCGGCTTTAAAGAAAGTTGTTCCATTTTTACATTTCCAAAAGAAATGAGTGCCCATTCCCCCACAACTTCATCAATAATGGGCACTATCTTTTTCCTCCTCTTAATTTGGCAATTTAATAAGTATAAAACAGCATTTTCCATCTCATCTCTTTGTCTTCTAAAAGAAGTTAATCATTTTTATATGCATATTAGCCAATTGTGTTTCTGTCTTTGGTGATTTGCCTGATCATGCCCTTTGCTCATCTTTCTATGGAAAGTTGGGCTTTTTCTTACAAATTTATTTGAATTCTTAATGTATTATGTACATTAAACCTTTCTCTTTCATATTCTGCAAATATTTCCTTAGTTATGGTATTTTTGTCATGTACTTTTCAATATTAAACAGTCAACTCAATTTGTCCTTTATTTTTTTCTTCCTTTACAAGTACAATGAGATAGACCATCCCCACTCTGAGATTGGATATTCAACTATACTTTCTTCTAGATCTTTTATGGCATTTAAAAAAAATATTACCACTTTAATTCATCAGAAAATTATAATGGTATATAATGTGAGTTATGGACTGAATGCCTCCCCACCACCAAGTCTCATACAATTAATTGAAAACAAGCCCTACAAGATCAACACCCCAACTCCATTTACCTACTAATGACCACCCTGTATTCTCTTTGCTCCAGCCCCACTGGCCCCCTTGCAATCCTCAGAGATATCAGAGGTAATCACTCCTCACCTGCACTGTGTTCCCTTGCCCTGGAGTGCTCTACCCCAGACAGTCACATGGCTTTCTCTCCCCTCCTTTTGATCAAAATCACCGTCTCAAAGAGGCCTTCCCTTGGCCATCTTAGAGAAAATACTCTATTTACCTACCTTACTTTTTCTTCTAACATACCACAAATTTTACTCATTTATTTTTCATCTGCTAGAATGTAAGCTCCACGAGGGAAGGGATTTTTGTTCATTTTTAATTCTGTATTCCTAGGGCCTAGAAGAGTACCCAAGGAATACAGAATTACACGATTCTGAGGATGGTGATTCTGAGGATTCTAAGGAAACTGTTCTAAGGATGGCACAAGACCAGGCAGCGTTTTGTTCTGTTGGACACAGGGTCACTGGGAGTCAAAGCTGACTCGACCGCACCCAACAACAACAGAAGAGTGCCCAGCACATAGTTAAGTGTTCAACAGATATTCGTTAAATGAATTCTTTCTTTCTCCACTATTTTGAAATCTATCTATATAGACTCATACATACTCGAGTCTGTTCCTGAGCTATTCCTTTTATTCATACGTCGTATGTTAATATTCTAATTACTTCAGCTTTAGAATACATCTTCATATGTGACATTGAAGGTGCCCTTCATTATTCATTTTAAAAATGTAACTGACCAGAAGCCCCTGTTTCTGTATTTCCTGATGAACTTTAGAATGACTGACTGGCTTTGTCAAGTTAAACAAGAATCTGGTAAAAGTGTGTTTGGAATTGCATAAAACATCATAATTTAACTTTGGGGAGAACTGATTATCTTTATAATATTTAAAATACTATTTAAATTTCCTCTGTGTAAAATGGTATTTTGGTTATATATGAGAAGGTCTTTGTTCTTAGGAAATATATGGTCAACTGTCCTGATACCTGCAATTTACTTTCAAATGGTTCTGCACACACAGACACAGACACACATACACACACAGACACACACATACACACACACACACAAATACGCTAAACAACAGATACAGAGAGAGAGTAATAAGGAGTGGGGAAGAGGAAGAGAGGGCAATAGGGGGGCAGAAAATGTGGCAAAAATAGTCATCGGTGAATCTAGGTAAACGATATTCCTTTGTATTATTACTTCATTTTTTTGTTATTTTGAAAATTAAAAAAATTAAAAGCTGGTAACAAAAATCAGGTCTTAGCATTGAATTTTTTCAAATGACTTTCAGCATCTCTTGATGATTTTTTGACTCAGAGTGTGTGTATGTATAAAATACGTATTTACAATATGTATATTTCATCCCTCCAATATTAAGCCATTTTTGTACTGCTGATAAAAATCCTGTTTGGTCTTGATTTGCTATTCTTTTAATATATTTCTAGAATCAATTTCTAATACTTTATCATATTTGTATTTATATTCAAAATGAGATTTGGTACTAGTTTTCTAATTGTTGGTTCTCTGTTAGTTTTTGATGTCATGATTATATTTGTAAATTATAGTTTGTTAATTTGTTAAATTGTTAATTTGTAAATTAACTTTGTAAAATGAATTGGAAAGAATGAAATCTTTTCCAATGAGTTAAAACAATTTACATAGCAGGGGAAGATCTAGTCCTCAAAAATTTGAGAGAATGTGACCATAAAACCACTTAGGTATCCTTTGAGGAAGTAATTCTTTAATAATTTTAAAAATGTCTTTCATAAGTTAGTGATTTAAAAGTTTTCCTTCTTGTAGGGCAGATTTTGTTCCAGTGGTACTTTCCTAGAGAATTGTTCACAAAATTTTACAGGAAATGTTCACAAATTTTTAAAATTTAATAGTATAAAGCTGTATACATATTTTTTTCCTTGAATTTTCCAATTTGGGGCTAAAGGTGTATCTGATTAACTACAGGTTCAATCTTCCTACAGGGCTATAATCCATAATGAGATGTTAAAGATAGGAAAAAAATTATATGGATTCTTGAAACTTTAGTCTTATTTCAATTCTCTAATACTTCTGGATCAGAATTTAAGAATATCTATTTCTCAGGAAATAGACATCAACACCAAAGGAACAAGGAAAAAGCCATGTATTAGTTACAGCTACATGGCAGGGGTATCACTACAATTCATCACCCCAAAATCAGCTGTGAAGCTAAAAGCAGCTGAAACATCTATAAAGTGCAGATATATACCAAATTCACCAGCTCGGTTAAATTATTTACTCACCCCTTAGTCTGAACCGAATAATATAAGGAGAAAGATGTACTATCTCCCCCTAAATAGTTTTCTCTTGGCTTTTATAGATGTTAAATTTGCTTACTCCACTTGTTGAAAAACCAGGACCTGAAACAAGTATGTTAAAGAAGGCACTGACAATGAGATTGAGGGAATGTCTAGACAGAGGGCTAATCAAACATTTTTGATTGGTGATTGTTTTTTGTTTTAAAAAAACATCGAACATATATTCACTTGACTCTGTCTCAAAATAAAGAACCCCAAAACTGCAACACTGGAGGCAAGTTTGCTAGTTAAGTTGGTTATATAATTACAGTTCTTCTTTCTTGGCTCTGAAGAAATAAGGATAAGGACTACCTTAAATTTCAGAATAAAGGAGCAATGGAGATTTTAAAGAAATGCTATCATTAACCCAAGGGATTAAGGTTGATCACAGATCATCTCTGTCCCCAACAATAATCCTTACTATACTACACTTGGTCTCTTCTGTTTTCCAATTTTTTTAAATATATTTTTATTAGATAAACTCTCATCAGGATCTAAATTTAAGTTTTCTCAGTAAATTATTAAATTAGTTCACTATATTTCACTATTAAAAGGTAATAGAAAGTAAAGTACTTAGGGGAAAGCTAGGAGAGAGCTAAGGGTCCTGGGACCCTTAGGGAAGCAAGCTCACAATTAGCTGTAGCTGTTGCTGTCATTCAGATTCACCTAATCTGGCATTTTATCTTTCACTTGTGGGTGAATGAGTCATTAAAAAAAAAAAAACCACTTAAGCAAAGAAGGTAACTTTCCAATCCAATATGAATCAGAGATTTCCTAAGGGATAAAACTAGTAATTACTAAAAATTCCTGACTCATAAATAATGGCCTTAAAATTTATCATTTCATTTTTTACTTTAGGAAAATGAAATGGCTAATTCAGGGGAAATGAAATAACGGGAAATTTTGGGGAATATAAGTTGAAAAGGTCAAGTGTTATAGCTCAAATAAATATTGATTTTACAAAGTTACATGTCTTAGACACGTGCGTTTGGGATGAAAGCAGTCACGTGGTGGCATTACTATGGTCATATGTACAGCCGTGAGTGCCTCTTACCTGATACAAAGGGCCATCCTGAGGGCAGACTTGCGAAGCTGAGCAGTTCAGACACCGAAACTGCGGAGGAGATGAACTCATCAGATAAGAGGCATCCACAACTGGACACATATTTAAAACTGATTATTTAAAATATGGTAACGTCAAACGTAAGAGTCAACATGATTAATCTTAAGTAAACACTTTCCAAGAATATGGTAGTTACTGTTGAAAAAAATAAAAAGATATTAATAACAGTGATTGGTAAAAGTTAGCTTGAAGTAATTTTAGCACGTAGATATGAGTTTTGTTTAATATTCTGCAAACATTTACACAAATGGTGGCCTACCCTTTCTATCTCCTCTCCAAATAGTAATTCCTGGGGAAAATCTCACCTCATGAGTACACAGAGGACACCCTCTTTCTTCAGTCCCTTCCTGGATCAATGTCTCCAACTACCCTTTGAAAGTACCACTGTTCAAGGAGCTCAGAGCTCTGAGAAGGCATGGAACTTCGCTTAGCCTATAAGGGATCCATTTTCTGCTTTAGATTAAGTTCTTTATGTTACTCAGATTAGATTCTTAGTCTCTATATCTATTCTAACAGCGTTAGATGGTGAGCTCCAAGTCTACATCTTGTTTCACCTTTGCAGTCTTAATATGTGAAGGCCTAGAACTGGTACACGGCAGCCACTCAATAAATGTTTTATGAATAAATCAATGATTGAACATATTTTAAAACTACTAAGCAGATTCATTTGTAAACCCACTACTTTTTAATGGTTTAACCATTCACATAAAAAGAAAATCATTCCCAGATCTTGATTTTCAATAGTATGCTAAATATTTATTAAATATGAACATTATTTTAATTGTAATGGAATGACAAAGCAAAAAATATTTACTTTAAAATTAAGCATATGTGAATTAAACATTGCACACCTCTTCAAAATGGAAAAAAATCAAATACATAAAAAATACGTGAGGTGCAGATTACCCAGGATAAATCTAACATTCCAGAATAGCTTTTTAAATGATAAATTTTTAAAGCGATTTAAGCAAAAATTAAATGAATGTATTTGTTTTTTAAATAAAATTTTAGAAATTGTCTGTTTTTCCAAATGACTTTAACAGTTTCTTTCTAGAAATTAATCCTTGATTTTCTGTACAGGGCTCAGTGATATACTGTAAAACACGTTCAGTATTGCTATCCTTTGGCAACCTTTTCTATTCCTCTGAAGACTCCCAAAGTTTTGGCCTATCAGACTTTGTCTAATTATGCCAACCTCAAATAGCATTCAGTAAGAGTAAAAAGTTTAGGTGGGAAGAGACAATTTTACTAAGTAATTCTTTTTTTCTGTTAATCTCTTTGGTGTCATCAAGATGGGTATGTTTGCTTTTCTAAAACTGCCTGATAATGCAAGTAAACCAAAGCAAGACAAGCTGTAGTAGCTTTAGGTACTGTTCTACTTTTTTTGAACTGTGTTTAAAGCTGTAAAATGAAACAGCCAATAAATTTAGAGAAGCATGGAAATGATGCATATGGAAGAAAAAAATTACATGGGAGATATTTTCTAGGGAATATGGATTTGACAACTTCAGGAGGTTGGAAAGAAGCCTCAGAAGTTTAGACATAATCACTGGCTGATTAAAAAAGCCAAAAACACACTTCATGCTATTTGAGATTTACCTCGTGTATTTACATTTCTTCTCCATACTCCAATTTTTTGAAGGGAAAGAGGTATTTTTTGCTCTCCCTCCATAGTCTCTATGTATGCGGCTGTTAGCAAAAGTTCAGAATCTTGTAAGTTAAAATAGATTAGAGGTTTATTCGGTAATTCTCACAAAATTCTTTCAAACCCAGTTTGTTTTGTTAAGGCAATTACTGAATGACAAAGACTGTATAAGGCATATATTTCTACAATCTAATAAAAGTCATAGTATTCAAATCTTAAATGATAAGGAGACCAGTACAACACATGGCTGTGTTTCTTACTAATCATGGTTAACTCATTTGCCATAAAAATTCATTTGAAAAGTCTTTTGAAGTGAATCCGTATTTCTCTGAATAAAACTGCTTCGAATTCTGTTATAATCTGCTACTGACCTCAGTTCTGGAAGACCAAAGAAAGCCAATCTTTCTAAATTCTGATTTGCTCAAGGTTTTAATACAACTGGGTTGTGTTGCTAAGTGTGCATGCATGTTTGTGGTAGTGGTGGTGGAATGATTCACGGGCAAAATAATTGTGCCCCAGACATAATTAGTAAGCATATTTGTGAGGAGAAATTATGTTTTCTTGCTCCAAAACCTTGCTGTGTAAAGAGTGGCAGAAGGAATCACAGTGAAGTTCTGGAGAGCAATGGAATAGTGACTGCTTTAGTTGAGGTAGCTATCAGAGAAAGTAGCTCTACAGTGGTGAGGGACCCATGTTACAACCTCCTCCTCCCAATCCTCTCGACTTATAACTGAATGGTCTCTGGGTGGCGCAAATGGTTAAGTGCTCCACTGCTAGACAAAAGGTTGGTGAGTGGAACCCACCCAGGGGTACCTCGGAAGACAGGCCTGGCAATCTGCTTCTGGAAGGTCACAGCTTTAAAAACCCTATGGAGCAGTTTGACTCTGCATACATGGGGTCGCCATGAGTCAGAATTAACTCGATAGCAACTAACAACACATATATAATTAGTAGATAAACTAAAACTAAAATATTTATTCCCAAGGGAAAGGTATATACAAAGAACTATGTGAATAAATTATACCACTGTTGTTGTTGTGTGCTGTCGAGTCGATTCCAACTGATAGCAACCCTATATGACAGCGCAGAACTGTCCCATAGGGTTTCCTAGGCTGCAATCTTTATGAGAGCAGATCACCAGGTCTTTTTTCCCATGTAGTGCTTGGTTGGTTCCAACTTCTGACTTTTTTGGTTAGCAGCTGAATACTTAACCACTGCATCACCAGGGCTCCATAAATTATATTTCTAGGGTTGCATATTTCAAGACATATAGAACAGTTCACATACTCTCAATTTAGCTTTGTACAGCAACTATGAAAGGACTTAAAAGGCAATTCAAAACACTTGGTTGCTGAAAAACGAACTTTTAAAGTAGTTTAAAAAATCTTGAAATTCTCCGCATTAAGGCTGGGATGGAGGGGGATTACCCAATACTAGAACTAGAGACTCTCTTCTCTTTCACATGCATATGGCCAGACCAGCCACATAGCATCTGCTCAGTAGTATTTCATAGGTAATTACAAGGTCTAATTTGTAGATAATTATGTTGTTTTGTGAAAAAACATATAATTTTCACAACTGTGTAAATGATAAAACTTATTAGGCAGAAACTGAAAGTAAATACTGAATACATAATATACATTGTTTACCTCCCTGACTATAACTCAGTTTTTTCTCTCTTCCCTCCTCCTTCCTTCCTTCCGCTCTCCTTCCTTCTTTTCTATTTATCTTCCTCTTACCATCAGTAGCTTTGTAGTATGCACAATATACTATGCACACTTAGTACTTTATACTATAAACCTTTGACATTAAGAAAAGCAGCAAATAGGAGTATTTATCTCTGGGGAGAGGGACTTTCAATGTAGCCCACTCTTCAGGGTTTGAACAAGAAGACAAACACTTGGCGAGGAGCATGGTAGACCTTTATTTCAGTGTTTCTTGAAACAGAGTTGAATATCTAACAAGGAGGGAAGGCAACACCCTAAATCAGATATACATAGACACAACTTAAAACAGCAGGTTATGCATTATGATTAAGAGTTAAACTAGCCAAACAATCCTGAATTAATTTAATCTCCCATATTTATAAAATACAGAAGTAGGAGAGTAGATAAAATCATGTACTATAATCCCTGCCATCTCTCAGACCCCTAATATGACTGCATTTCCCAAAGTGAATTTCGTGGATGTTACTTTTTTTTTTTTTAAACATGGGAATTCCACAATGAGTCTAGGAAAGGCCAGACTCAAAAAAGTTTACGGATTCTATTCTGCGGAACTTATTAGCATATTTAAAATGCTCTATGGCTCTCTCGGAGGATATTGTATTATTCAGCATTTCTCAAACTTGTTTTTACCACAAACCCTTTTTGGTAGAATATCCTGGCTTGTATTCAGTGAAACACTGTTATATAACTGTACAGACTTAAAAAAACAAAAAAACTACGTAACTATTTCATCTTGTTGGGGAATCCCTTTCCACACCAACCAACCCAACCTATTGCCACCGAATCAATTCTGACTCATAGTGACCCTACAGGACAGGGCAGAATTGCCCCATAGGGTTTCCAAGGCTGTAAATCTTTACGGAAGCAGACTGCCACATTTTTCTCCTGCGGAGCGACCAGTGGGTTTGAACCTGAAACCTGTTGGTCAGCAGCTGAGTACTTAACCACTGCGCCACCAGGGCTCCTTCCCTTTGCACATACAAGAGAGCTAATTTATTAGGAGCTCTTTAATGGTTACTCAGAAGAATTAATCACCTCCCAAATCCGAGCACCTCATTTTCTATTCACTGCTAGGCACAGATCAGGGTACTTGTGAAAGTTATAAACCTTGCCCTCATGATTAAGGTAAAAGCTTCTTAGAAATTCCAGGCAGTAGGGTATAAAGCTTAATCAAAGTAAAGGAATTTGACCTGAACTAGCCATTAAGCCTTAGCAAATTACCTATCCAAGGTGATCTGTATTCACATTAAAATCTGAGATGCATTTTTTAAAAAAAAAATATATTTCTTTACTAAAGTAAAAAATGAATGCCAACCTTGAGTATAAGAATCTTGAGGTGGCCAGATAATTATGAACTGAGAAACTGCTCAGAGTTATTAGCTAAAGGTTGACCATATGTTTGTTTAGATTCCTGAAAAATCTCATCATAAAGCAACTTAGAAGGTCCAACTATTTGCCTTATAAGATATGTTAGTCTGGACTTTATCCAAACTTATCCCAAAGAAAAGGGATCATAAAGGGGTATTATGTGGTAAGATTTTTATAAAAGCTATATAATGTGTAATGCTGATACAGGAATAAGACCACTCAAAAGACCAAAACAGAATGTCCAGGAACACACACACATACAGATGTATGTGTCTGTGTGCATATGTATACGTATACATATACATACATATAGATGAAGGGGACAACTCAAAACAGGTGAAACATGGATTTACTCAACAAATTGTATTTCTGGATTAAAAAAAGAACTTTGAATAAGTTAGAGTCTTAACTTCATCGGTGTGTGTGTGTTGTGTGTGTGTGTGTGTGTGTAAATAAACAAATTCCAGCTGGATTAAAATGTTTAATATTAAAAAGTACTGGAAGCAAGTGAAGGAACCACATGGCGGTCATTAGTTTAGGAAACAAGCTGACACCAGCCCAAAGCAGAGGTGGTTAGCAATGCCAGCAGATGTAGTAATGAGAGCTTTTCACACGTTCTGGCATCCTGTTGGCAATGGAGAGCAGAAATGGGACAGGATGGGACCACAACAAATATGCTAGTAGGGGCCTATTCAAGAAATGATTGTTTTACTACTACTGGTTCATTTTCCATGCTACTCCAACTAGAAGAATTTATCTATTAATAGTATAATAACTCATAGTTAATTGGAACCTGAGCAAAAAGTAAAAATTTATTTAACAGAAAAACAAATGGAAAACTGAGATTCAAATAAACGAAATGATCTTTAGGATATATTTCCCATAACTATTACCTTATAAAAGACAAAACTTTCACTCACTTTACTCTTCAAACAGATACTTTGTCAGGTACTGCTTTATATGCCAGAGATTCAGCAGTGAACCTACAAACAAAACTCCCTGCCCTCAGATGACATTATAGTGGAGGGGCAAACAATAAACATACAAACAAGTAACAGACATCACATGTCAGATGGTACAAAATACTATGGAAAGCAATAAGGCATGAAAAGGGATTAAAAGTGCCATATTGGGAGATGGGGTTGTAATTTTCAGGGAGGTCAAAAGGCTGTACTGAGGTGACATACAAGCAAAATTATCTGAGTGAGGGGGTAAAGGGACCAAGTTTGGGAGGCAAGGGCCTATCTGGGGAGGCGAGAACATGCATGGCTGGAGTGCTGTAAGCCAGGGGGAGAGAATAAATGAAAAGATTAGAGAGGTGTCTGGAGGAAACTGTGGGGGCGCCCTACCTATGAGTTCCTGGAAGGACTTTTTGGCTTTTATCTAAATGATAGAAGTTACTGGAGGGTTTAGAGAAGAGTGCCATGTTCTAATCTGTTTTAAGATGACTGCTCTGACTGCTGTGCTGGGCAGACAGCAGGAGGACAAGGGTGGATGCATGCAGCCCAGTTATGAGCCTGTGATAGTGATCCTGAAGACAGGCTTGGACCACAGGTGGTAGAAGTGGACGTGGTGACACACGGCTGCATTCTGAATATAGTATTCTGATGGACGAGGTTACGGAATTTGCTAAGGATGGATGAAAGAGAAAGAAAGTAATCAGGGCTGACTCAGGGATTTTGGCCTGAGCAACTGGAAAATGGAACTACCAATCTTGGAACTGTTGAAATTGTGAAGGCTGCAGGAGAAACAGGATTAGAGAAGGAAAACCACCAAAAAAGAAAAAAAAAAAAAACAAAAAGAAAAGTTTGTCATGCCTAAAAAAAATGAAACGAGTTTTACTACTTTACAGTCACACTAAATGTAAAAGGTGGTGATTTTTTTGTTGTTTACTGCTCGAATTTCTACTTGAATGATAAATTATAAGATATTAAACCGCATTTTGAACCAACTTTTAAAAAACATGACATAAACAACCAAGGAATTTAGACTACTCGGAAACATGTAATTAGAAACATAACTGCAGCGAAAACTGACTTAACTGACAGTCTATTAGTAAAATTTTCTGAGTCAGCTCTTTCATGATCTGACATAAAAATAACTGGCAGCATGAGTCACATTTGGGGATGGGTCTTGAGAAGGAAAGTAAGCATTAGCAGAGGTTTTACAATGGATGATCATTTATATCCCTTCAACCTGAAAGCAAATCTACTCATAATGATGATTTCGAGCACTGAAACATATTGATCAAAAAAAGCTAAATTAATGTTTAATAAAATATTACTATTATGTGTAATATCACAATATCCACTCCTCAAAAGTGTTGGGTAGAAGAGAGCTCTTACTATTTCTGTAATCTGCACACAGTATATAAAACATTTTAGTTGTAAGAATTATGATGTATTTACAGGCATTCTAAAAACTATAAAATGTCATAGAAAGGCAAGTATTAATTTACCAAACACAAAGAAAATTAGATTAAAAAAAAAAAAAAAAGAGCCCAGAGAGGTTTAATGGGCTGTTGAAGGGCACACAACTAGTTAGTGACTTGTACTAGAATTTGACTTTTTTTTCTTCCTGGAATAGAGCTCTTTCCAGAAGCGGCTAGAGCCTTTCTGCCTCACAAGGAAGGCTTTACCAGGCAGGACTCAAATAGAAAAAAGAAAATTCTAACTTAAGAGGTTAGGTACTTCATTTTATTATTATATCACATCAAGACATTTCTTCTGAAAAACAGTCAGATGTTCTACCCATTTAGTAACACAAAAATTGATTTCTTGAGATATATTTTGTAACAGTTCCACAGATGATTACACTCATTGTAAATATGATTTTGAACTATTTTAACATGATAACCCTCATTACACTTAGAATCTGTATTACCTATCCTTGTGTGAGGTTAAATTTCTTAGCCTTCTTTTATTTAATAATTAATTTATGTTTTCATGAGCAAATGTAATAAAACCTAGCTTACAGAAAATAAATTTAAATTACACAGAATTTAAAATTATGACATATTGACCCATATACACCACAGAATCCTAATGTCTGAAAGGACATTGGAGTCATCTAGTCCAGCCTCCCGGTCAATCTTGATTAATGTTTACTCATATGCTCAGATTATGAAAAGAAATTCTGGTAGTATCACTACTATACTCCTTATTCCTATATATTAGCCTCATGATTCCCTAGCTGCTCAAATTTCCCTAATATCCATGTTATTTATAAACCAGATAGGATATTCTTAAGCTCTCTATTTAATCCTAATCAAATATATAGTTCAAAATACAGATTTTCTTCTATTCTCCTTTTAATATTTTCTCCCATATTTCCTAGGGCCTAAGGCATAATCTAATTCTGCTGGCAGCAGAAACCACTGGAAACTCACTTACCCTTAGGTCCGATATTATGTAAAGGAGGTACCTGAAAAAAAGATTACCTAGATTCTACCCTATCTGTCCTCTTTACTACGTCTAAAAATACTCTTATCAATCCTTAAATGTAGTAGTCTGAGCAGAACTCAGTCCCCCCTGCCCCCACTTCATTACTTAAGAGTTTCCTTATTTTATTGGGTTTTAAAAAAATATGTAAGTTCTGTCTTCTCTTTTTGAGTTTAGTAGCTTGAACATATTTAAGATGGGGCTTAAACTCACCTTAAATATAACAAAACCATATTTAACACAGACGTTGGTCTTGTAGTCCTGTATTTTCACAGAGTAGCTGGGAGAAACAGTAAAAAGAGGAACTAGTTTCTTCCCTTTCCCAAGCTAGCTTGTTTTTCAGTTTCTAAGTTATACTGTTAAATTTGAGTAACACAATGGTATACAGCGAAATATACAAGTAAGTAAATATAAAAACAATTTACGTTTTCGCCTCTTAGTCGCCATCTTGTCATGTAGATGAATTCCATAGTATGATCCTTTCCCATAATTTCACCATTGCACAGCACATCCAACTTTAAAAAGAATAGTTACAAATCCATTAACATAAGTAATTTTGAACTCATACGTCTTTTACACATTTTTTTCAAATTTCAAAAAAGATTCAAATAGTTATAACAAAATAGACATAGCATCCATCATTTAAAAAGAACACTGCTTGAACCTTTTCATCAAAAGAAGTTTTAACAATTCAGGTATAAGTATCATAAAGCACTCTTTATCTTGTCCCACGTACCTGTATCTCAAGTTCATACACATAATTTTGAAATGCAATATAAACTCTCCTAGTTCGTGTCTCTGTGCAACCTTAGAGATTTCAGACATTTACTTTTGACTGTCCCTTACTAAATGAGAAAAAACTGTAGAAAAATCACAGAAGCTCCTTTGGCTTATGAACTCATCTCTCAGAATCCTTTCATCTTCCCAATATTTGAAGGGGTTGCTTTCTTCTCATTACTTCGGATTTGAATAGGGTAAATGAATAAATGTGGACATAGTCAGGAAAGCTGTGTCTTGGGGTTGTATCCTTTCACCATACTTATTCAATCTGCATGTTGAGCAAATAATCAGAGCAGCTGGACTATGAAGAAGAATGCAGCATCTGGACTGGAGGAAGACTCATTAACAACCTGCAATATGCAGATGACATAACCTTGCTTGCTGAAAGTAAACTTGAAGCACTTACTGATAAAGATCAAAGACTACAGCCGTCATTATGGATTACACCTCAACATAAAGAAAACAAAAATCCTCACAACTGCACCAATAAGCAACATCATGATAAAATGGAGAAAAGACTTAAGCTGTCAAGGATTTCATTTTTCTTGGATCCACAATCAACGCCCATGGAAGGAGCAGTCAAGAAATTAAGCAATGTATTGCACTGGGCAAATATTCTGCAAAAGACCTCTTTAAAGTGTTAAAAATCAGAGATGTCTCTTTGAAGACTAAGGTGTGCCTGACCCAAGCCATGGTGTTTTCAATCACCTCATATGCATGCTAAAGCTGGACAATGAGTATTGAACATACCAAAGAATATTGAATATACCATGGACTGCCAGAAGAATGAACAAATCTTTCTTGGAAGAAGTACAGCCAGAATGCTCCTTAGAAGCAAAGATGGCGAGATTTCATCTCACATACTTTGGACGTGCTATCAGGAGGGACCAGTCCCTCGTGAAGGACATCATGCTTGGCAAAGTAGAGGGTCAGCCAAAAAGAGAAAAACCTTCAAAAAGATGGAGTGATAGTAGCTGCAACAATAGGCTCATGCATAACAATGATTATGAGGATGGTGCAAGACCAGGCAGTGTTACGTTCTGTTGTACGTAAGTCGGAACTGACTCAATGGCATCTAACAACAGCAGAGGCATATGAGAATTTCCTGTAATTACCTATAGCTAAGTTGACAGAACAGTTAGGACTATGCTACAGGCCTGTGTCGCCTGGGGTTACCTGGCCTCTCTGGTTTGCTTGGTGGGTAACTTGCACAATACTTACAGGATCCTCTTCTCATCTTTATCAAAATTTAAAAAAGATTTGTGCTTATCAATGCTCACTTTTGCTCTAAAGATGCAGGAACCAAGCAACTTCAACAATCCTTAAAGAAGGCCACAGGAACTGTGGTTGTGATTCACTAATTTAACAAAGCATGATTTAAAGTTGTTTATCATACACTCCTACAAATAAAGTGACTTTTCAGTACTTTAGCTATTAAAAACAACTAATAGAATTTAAAGTATGGAGAGGGGGAAGAAGAATGGTTTTTAAATAATTCTGTGTCTGGCTAGACAGAGACTAGACTTTCGAACTTTAAGCCTGCAATGAGTATAGTTCTAATTATATTAGATGTACTAAGTAAATTATATGCACTTTTTGATGCTTTATGGTGACCCATAAGGACCACAAAATGTTTTTCAGACGTCATTTTGTTAACTCTTAAAAGAAGAAAGTAGATAGTTTCTTTCTTTTATTCTTTTAACCTTGGCTACAAAATAACAAAGAAGTAAAGGGACTTACTTAGGCTAGCATTATTAATCTGGTATACTGCGTTTACCCTGCCCCAAATAGCAATGCCGTTACAGAAGTTTCAGCTGTCAGGTATTTCATTAAATCATACCCCTACATGTGGGGCATAAAATAAGGCAGGCCAATATATGTTGCTGAAAATTATAGGAAAAGGCCTATGCACTGGGATAGACAAAGAGCTGTCAGTGGATTGAATCTCCTCCCTTTCTGTTTTTTTCTACAAAGAAATGTAATATATAGCAGTAAGACTGTACAAGAGTAATAGTTCTCTTAGCTCTACCAACTTCCTGAAAACTAGAAAATGGTAACTCAGTGAGTCAGACTTAATAATGAAATAAAACCACACACTGAGTTTTGCCAAAAGAGAATATAGTAAAAAATCGATCTGAAAAACAATTTCATTTTCTATTTTCCACCACTGTAGCTGTATCTACAAATTGTTATCATCTTTTACTAAGTACATAGGGCTTTGATATTTTTAACTTTCACATTATTTTCTCAATATAAAACTCCACTTGTATATCAATGTTCACTGCAGCACTATTCACAAAAGCCAAAAGGTAAAAACCTAAATGTTCATCAAAGCAAAATGTGGTACATACATACAATGGAATGTTACTCAGCCATGAAGAGAAATAAAGTCCTCATACATGCTACAATATGAACCTTAAACAAATTATGCTGAGTGAAATAAGTCAGCTACAAACGGACAAACACTATATGATCCCATTTATATAAAATAGGCAAATGTATAGAGACCAAAGCTTATTAGTAGCTATCAAGGGTGGGAGGGAGGGAGAAAGGGGGAGTCATTGTTTAGGGGGCATTAAGTTGCTAATGGTGGTGGAAAAATTTGGAATAGAACAGTGGTAATGGTTGCACAATATTATGAATGTCATCAGAGTCACTGAATTATAATATAGAAATTGTGTGCTGCAAATGTTTTGCTATATATATTCTTACCAAAATAACAAAACAAATTTTTTAAAGTCCCTATCTCTGGAATTTTTTTGTATTTGTAGGCCCAAACCATAATAAAAATTAATTTTTAATGCATGTATTAATTAGTTCATCTAAGAGCAATTTTAGAATAAGTTCAGAATCAGATGCTTCCTGAAAATACAGGCTTACTACCTGCCCAAGTCTGTGGTCAGAGCCTATTGCATTTTATTTCTCCTCGTGAGATTAATATTAACTGCAGATAAACCAGAAAAATAATGCTGCCTTGATGTCTTAGTTTACATAGAAAACTATGTAAACTGGTCTTTTGTTTTCTAGATGCTACTATCAAAATCCAAAGGGGAGGAATGGGAAGTTGTAAGACTGCTATTTGGGCAGCTGAAAAATGGTAGCAATATTTCTGCACTACATTATAGCCATGCCCTTAGGATCATAAACATTCTCTAAACACTGAGCATGTTACAAGCTGTGCTGTCATCAACAGCAGGGATAAAGCATTAGGATTATAATTGCATTTATGCAGATGCCAAATACCAGTTTCAGCTAGTGCTAAATAATATCACTTTTGCATATCATGGAACTATAGGATTTATGGAATCTCTTTTCATACGAGGCAACATTTTACACCGTAAATAAAAAATCTATAAGACTTGGTAATAATGGAACTCAAGGCTCTCAGATAAAACTGACTACATCCTAAAGCATGTTAGCATAAAAAAATCCAATCCATTTAGCTAGTATATTTATTTTGGGAATACTTAACATTAAGTTCTTTAAATATCTCCTCTAATGATGAAACATCAAATGCATCAGTATCATGTTTTACCGAGGATATACTAAATTAGAAAATATATATTACATCAGTAAAATATTATGTTCTGAAAAATTAAGTTTATAATATGAAAATAAGTTTCCACAAAAATTTAAATGTATTCTCAGTTAATCTTCCCTCCTGTCATTAGAATTTTACTTAAGATCATAATTATCAAGATATTCAAGGTCAGTTGTTATTTAACTTACCTCGTAAGAACTTGGAAGTTTTAGTTTTAAACTTAGAAATTTTTTAATAGTTCCCACAGTTACACGCGTAGAGCATCGGATGAATTTCTTCATTAAACCCTAAAGTAAAAAAAGACAATAACTAAGATAGTCTACCTTTCTTTTTATGAAACCATAGATATAATTTCCATCATCATTTTGAGTAATTTCAAAATATATTCGGGAAATATTTCAACTTGCAGCTCTTTAGTACTTGGGTAAAAATGTTTCCAATTCTTGGATACTTGCATGACATTCCTTAAGAATGTATCATCGTGTGTATTAGGAAAATTCTGGCAAATAGACAAAAAATGTGCATTCCTCTAGACTTTCTCGTAAAGAACACATCATGAGTTTAAGTGAAAATAACAAAACCAAAAAAAACCAAACCAATTGCCATCGAGTCGATTCCAACTCACAGCAACCCTATAGGACAGGGCAGAACTGCACCACAGGGCTTCCAAGGAGCGGCTGGTGGATTCGAACTGCTGATCTTTTTTTTTTTTTTTGGAAAGGAAGGTCATAAAAGCATATAAAATATTTTATTATATAATGTCACTTCTGAAAGCATTAGGATTATAAAACATGATCTCATAACTTCTAAATAATGTTAAGAAAAACAGTAATTTCAAATGGGACTCTGAGGAGTCCTAAGATTCAACAGAGAGAGGCCAGTTGGGCCACAGTATGCCCCAGCAACTAAAAGGTGCATCATAGGACCATTGGTTGGGGAGCACCAGGTCCAGTCAGGGTGTGATGGGCTCTAAAAGTAGTTTACTGTAAAAATGTAAAATTCTATATGCCTTGCTTTTTCTCATTTGTAAAACATGGACGGCAGTGCTAATTTACTTTCTAAGCTCAAACATCACTAAAATTTACGAACTGATCCAGAATGGACATCCAAACTGAAAATAAGTCAAAATGAGGTTGTAGACAAGATAAACATGAACCAAACTGCAAAATTAAGTAACATTCCACAACCACAAAGATGAGCTGAATACTTAAAAAATAAGCAAGCAAAAAAGAAAAACCTAGCAATTTATCTAATCCTTTACAGACATAAAGTAGTATTCCTATTTTATATGTATAGAAAATTGGGCCAACAATCTGGAAATGTTCTTAAGTTCGTTAAGTCAAAACAGAACTACCTAGTTAGTATCATTAATGTATTTCCTAGCAAAACCAACAGAAACAAACCTACAAATGACACTTGGTCACACCTAAGATGGTTAAAAAAAACCTGATGGCGTCGAGTCACTTCTGACTCATAGCGACCCTACAGGACAGAGTAGAACTGCCCCATAGGGTTTCCAAGGAGCAGCAGGTAGATTCCAACTGCCAACCTTCTGGTTAGCAGCCAAGCTCTTACTCACTGAGCCACCATGGCTCCAAGATGGTAAAGTATCTATTAAAAGAAAATGGAAGTTAAAAATTACATCTGAAGCAAAATATACTCTACTATTTCAAATGGGAAGATTGATATCCTAGACTGAGACTATAAAAACAAATTGATAGATATGCAAGTCTACCCTCTGTTATTTGCTGACATCATCTCACCTTCCCTGAGGTCTCCTATCTATTTTATTGCTGCAAACATAGCTTATAAAGAATGGTCAGCACATTTTACAAGTTCTAGTTAAGGTAGAGGACAATGTGAGGGTACTGGAAGACCCTTTAAGAGCATTCTCATCTGCAGAGGAACCTCAGGTTGCTGAAAGAACCTGCAGAAATGACCTCGGCATCATTACTCATAATCTTCCAGAAACTATGAATAATTATAGAAATGTCAGAAAAATTAACAGAAGATGTTCTAAAACTAGGGAAAAGCTTGTTTCTGGAATTTATAATTCAATGAAGGTTGATCTCAGTCTGTAACAGAATTCCACGCTGGATTATTCAGTCATTGATTTGTGAGTACTTAGAAAATAAAAATATGATTATGCATTCTCTCTCTATATAAAACTTTACGATTATACCAAATTAACCTGGTTCTGTTTCGTAGCTCAGATACACCTAGGAATTGCTGTACAGATCTCTGAAAGGATAACTGACACATTTTAAAAGGGGCAATGACAATTAAGAATGCCCAATAGAAGATGAGCATGGTGGAAAGAACCTCAAAGAGATGACTCTTAAGAGCAGTGACTCTTCCCTACATTTTCGTTTGACAAATACATGCAAACGGAAACATTTGTTCTCCACAGTGGGAGCAAAGGGAGGCTGCTACCCAGGGCAGCAGGTGTCCAGCCCAGGCCCAGCCCGGCTGTCCCGAGAATCAGCATTTCAGGCAGATTTGTACTTCACTTCTGCCCCTGCACACTGATTGAGAGGCTCTGCCTTTGAAGGAACATGATCGGTATTTTAAAATACGAAAAGAAATACCGTATGTAAAAGATCTGTTTTGTGTCAAGAATGTGACCTTTCCTTTCTATGGCACAATTCACTTGCTTTCTGCCTTGTTCCACCTTCCAATTCAGACCATAAAAGGATTCGAAAAAGGCTCTTTTCAGCTTCCAAGTTGATTACACCAGAGACTTGTTTATCCTTTATGCCTTTGTTTTCAAAGAGTTAAAAAGCTAGAACTGAAATCAGATAGTAACCTGTATCACAAGTTAGATGGGCCTCCTGTTCTTCTAGGGTGCAATTCAACAAATTCCAGTCCTTCTGATAAGGATTTCTGAAACTTTGGTTGTTATTTTCTAAACCCAAACCCTTACAATGCTTTTCTCTTGTCTTCATAATGGTATGTCAGGTATCTCCGCCAGCCAAAGAATTTGTCAAGCTTGACTCTGACTTTTTCTTTTCTGTTTTTTGAGATACAATTCACATACCATAAAATTCACCATTTTAAGTATAAAGTTCAGTAGTTTTGAGTATTTTAACAGGGTTCTGCAACCATCACCACTATCTAATTCCAGAACATTTTCGTCACCCCCAAAAGAAACTCCATACCCATTAGCAGTGGCTTCCCATTTCTCCCTCCTCCCAACCCCTGGCAACCACTAATCTACTTTCTGTCTCTCTGGATTTGCCTATTCTAGACATTTCATATAAATGGAATCGTATCATATGTGGCCTCTTGTGGCTGGTTTCTTTCATTTAGCATAATGCTTTCGGGGCTCATCCATATCGTATTATGTATCAGTACTTCGTTCCTTTTTATGACTGAATAATATTCCATTGTGTGGATGTATTGTATTTCCTTTAACCACTCATTTGTTGGAGCCCTGGTGATGCAGTGGTTAAGAGCTATGGCTGCTGACCAAAAGGTTCAAATCCACCAGCTGCTCCTTGGAAATCCTATAGGGCAGTTCTACTCTGTCCTATAGGGTCGCTATGAGTTGGAATTGGCTCAACAGCAACGGGCTTCTTTAATTCATTTGTTGATGGGAAGCTGGGTTGTTTCCAGTTTTTGCCTATTATATTAAGTAATGCTGCTATGAACATTCGTGCATAAGTGTTTGTGTAAACATACGTTTTCAACTTCTCTTGGGTATGTAACTAGAAGTAGAATTGCTGGATCATGTGGTAACTCTATATTTAACTTTTTGAGGAACTACTAAACTGTTTTTCATGATGGCCGTTTTACATTCCTACCAGCAATGTATGAAGGTTCCAATTTTTCCACATTCTCACCAAGATATGTTACTTTCCAGTTTTTTGATTATAGCAATCCTAGTGGATGTGGAGCAGTATGTCATTGTGGTTTTGAATTGCATTTCCTTCATGACTAATGGTACTGAGCATCTTTTCATGTGCTTATTGGCCATTTGTGTATCTTTTTTTGGAGCAATTTCTATTCAAGTCCTTTGTGCATTTTTAAATTGGGCTGTCTTTTTGGAAAACCATGCCCATCGGTTTACTATTGTCTATGGTATTTTTGGTGGTTTGAACCTACCAGCCGTTCTGTGGGAGAAAGATGTGGCAGTCTGCTTCTGTAAAAGTTAATCTGAACTTAAAAAATTATTTATTTTTCATTTCCTGATTAAAAAATGTAATTAAATGTACTAGTAAAAAATTCAACCCACTAGCATACAGATTACATGGAGGAAGTAAAAGAAAATAAGAGATTGAAATAGGCATTTGAATAAAACATGGAATGCAAAAGAGAAACAATATTCTCAATGTCTGTCATTTGGTAAAACAAATTGACAAAAGTCTATTTAAGAGCTAAAGTAGTGAACATTTATAATTAGAAAAATCTGCTTGCAACAAAAAAGCAGAGAACATTATTTAAATAGTGCCATTTAAAGACTAAATAAAATCAAAAGTGACGATGGTGTTTTAAACTCTCTAGTATAAAGATCCTTTAAGGAAAGACTCAATTAGGAGATACAGAGGGGGAAACAGGATTAGAAATGGAGATTATACAGGATATATCTGAAAGAATTCAAGGACTTCAAAATTCACATGCACTTGTGACATCCAACTTCACTTCAAAACCAACTGATTATATTATTCTTAGAATGTATTGGCCGTGACATGGACAGCTTTTTTGAGTTGCAAAAAAATAAAAATAAAAATGAAATAAAGGAATAAAGGAGAAAATTAGAAGAGTAGGTAGATAAAAGGATTAGAAACATTGCCTGAGATGAAATTATCTAAGTCTGAGCTTGTTGCCATATTTAAAAAGGGAGAAACAATGCATACAACTCCCAACACAGTTATAAAAGGAGGTGGAGGAAAAACAGTGGTGTGATTCTCAGCATTAGCCACTAGGTGGTGGCACTGGCCCAGGATGGTTCACTCGTGGCGGTAGAAAAACAGGTGTATGGAGTAAGCAAATGTTTGGCTATTTGTAGGTATGAGACTTTTGTAAGTTTAATGTTTATAGCTTCGGGGTGTCAGAAAACGGTGCCATAACTCACTCTATTTGATTATGTTAGTAAGAACTTAAAAAAAACAAAACATTTTGAACAGCCACCACCATTAGGAAAATAAGTCTGTTAGTTATTTAGGGTTTACTATAAAATGACCATATAGAGGGTCAGTGAAAAAAAGGAAGACCCTCAACGAGATGGATTCACACAGTGGCTGTAACAATGGGCTCAAGCATAACAACGATTGTGAGGATGGCGCAGGACCGGGTAGAGTTTCGTTCGGTTGTTCACAGGGTTGCTATAAGTCAGAACAGACTTGACAGCACCTCCAACAACATGAAATGACCATAAAAAACACAACCGTATTTGTCCACTCACCTTTACTACATTGTCCCCTGATTGTCCATTATTACGTAAACAATCTAGACATATAGCAATTTGTGGGTCACTTCTGTGATAGTCTTTATCGTCTTGATTTTCATCACCTTCTTCATCTACTTTAGGTTTGTCAACTTTTGAAGTATCATCTGTGTAATTTAAGCAAAACTAAGTTAGATATAACTCAAAGCTGATTTTAAAGTTAAGATACGAAACATCAACCATCGAAACAAAACTCAATTTTAAAAAACATTTAACAGCTTTTGAAGAATAACTAAAATTTTTAATACTTTTTAAATGTTCCAACCAACTCAATAAACATTAGAACTATTTAATAAAAAAAAAAAATCAATGACTTATTAACATAGACTATGATTTCTAGGCTCATTAGGGTATCCAAATGAAAGAGTAAAGATTAGCTACATTTGGTCACAAAAATGAAACTGCAATAGCAATGAGTGATTAGACCACTTTAGAAAGTAGACAGGATATAAAAATATATTCAAATTCCATATACCTTCAAATCCAAACCAAGTACCCATCTTTCAAACTACAAAATATTTTAAGTTCTCAAAATTTCAAATTATTAGATATCCATAAAATCAGCTAGTAAAATAAGTAGAATGACTTAGCTTTTTTAATATGCATGTAACATGTTAAGAAACTCCATTAAAGAAATCTAAACGACCAACTTTATATTTTATACAAATGCATTTAACCTACTAAATACATGAGGCCTACATATAAAGCAACTATATTCATTTATTCATTTATATTGAGTGCCTCTGACTATATGTTAGGCATTTATTGTGCTAGGTCCTGAGGGTATAATGTTGTAACTAGAGTGCTACTGTCCCCTAACCTCACAGAGGTCAAGGTACAGGAGGAGATACAGGAAAGTAAACAAAACAGACAAACTCAGCAGTGTGATAAGTTCTTTGATGGCAGAGGTAAAATGGACTATGTGGGCACGTATAAGAGAAGTGATAAATCCTAACTCTGGGGTGAAGGAGAGATTCAGGGAAGATTTCTAAGATGAAGTATCCCTAAGCTGAAACTTGTAGGAATTAGCTAGCCATGTATTATAGAGTAGAAAGGCCAAGACAAAAATGAATGGTCAGCTCCTCTTTAGTGACTATAGTAAAAGCATTACACTTATACCATAAACAGGAGGTAGGTTCTCTTTCTTCTACATATTCACATGGAACCCACTTAGACAAGAGCTCCAGGAAAAGATGCAAATTCTCCAAACTAAAGACTAAATATTGTAATAGCCTGGATAAAATTCACAAAGTAGGCTGTAGCCGTTCACAAGTCAATTTACAAAATACATGGGTTCATAGACTAAAGCTACAGAGAGCTTCTGATGATGATCCCCTGGGCCTGTCCTCTTCATCAAGTAGTTAAAAACTGGAATATTCAGTTAGCCTTATACTATCTGTACTATTACGAAAGCACTACTGTTTAAACTGCAATATGCACTTGGGTAAAACAATCCTTTACTTAAGTCATTTTTTGGTTGGGCTTAGCTTCTTGAGCCATCTTGTTTTATAGATCAAAGAGAGTACCTTATTCCAGTTATTCAAAACTATTCTCAAACCTCCCCTGCTATAGAAATGCAGCCCTGAATTAATAAAACCATGATCCCCATTTTACAGGTAAAATAAAGAGAGCATTTTCTTTTCAACCTTGATGTACAACTGACTATCCTGTGATCTTATGGGAAAACCACGGCTGGGAGATGAAGCCCGTAAGTGAGCCTATAAAAACACACATACATTCTTAAAAAATTTCAATGGTATTTAATGCCATGTTGAATTAAATGTCCTATTAAAATAACAATGAGAAAGATACTACTTCCTTATAACTTTAGATATGTTGTACTTTTTTTTCCCCTTGCGTGGATAATAAACATACTAAGTGGTTTCTATGCTCACTTTGCTGAAATTATTAAAAATTCTTGAGTCTCTAGGGATCCAGAAGAGGAATTTGGATACTTAACATAGGTGATGGAGAAAATTCTCATCATCACCCAGACATAATTTTCAAATCTCCAGAATATGTAAATTCGTACTGTCTGAGTACCACCTATGAAACACATCATTCCATAGTGTCAGAGCATAGCAAACCCCCTGATCTGGCTATAAGTCACTTCTCAGTTCCCTCTCCTATTAAAACAAACATACAAAATAAAATAAATCAAACAAAAGCGCCTCAGTATTTAGTTGCAAACTATGGGTATTTTTTACCTCAGCTTCCTTGAGCTCTCTAGGAAACACGGCTGTAATCACCTAGTCACTTTTTTGTTTTAGCTCCTTTTTCCCTTCCCAAAGTCCAATCTCCTCTATTTCCAACTACCGTCAACTGGAGTGAATCCAGATCTACACGTTGTTGTTAGGTGCCGTAGAGTCGATTTCAACTCATACCAACCCCATGTGACAGAGAACTGCCCTATAGGGTTTTCTAGGCTGTAATCTTTACAAAAGCAGATTGCCAGGTCTTTCTCCTACAGAGCCACTGGGTAGGTTCAAACCACCAATCTTTTGGTTAGCAGCTCAACGCTTAATCATTGTGTCACCAGGGCTCCTTCCAGATCTATACAAATTTATATAAAATCTCAGGAAGAGAGAAAGGTTTATAATGTAAATAAAAGGGTATATGAATTTTGTGCAGGAGAAATCTGAGATTGATGAGAGATGTTAGTTCACCGAAGTTACAAAAAAACTGACCAATCTGAGAGATGTGTCTAGATTATTACTTTTGCTGTCAGATACAGACATAAGAAAAAGTCACCTTGTCCATTTTCTTGAGGCTTATTTTTCTTCCAAAATTCAGATTCACGCTCAAGTTCTTCTAATTTAAAAGAAAAAAAATAGAAAAATCAGAGAAACAATCATTAAATCATTAAGAGAAATGCTGATTTTATAAAATACAAAAATTTGTAAGAAGCTAAAAAGCAACTTACGTTCTCGTAGTCCAGGAACCAGCTTAAATATAATTTCTTCTAAGGTATTATCCAACCTTTCAAAGAAAAAAAAAAAAAGGATTTACTAACAATGAAGACATTAAGATTCAATATGTAAATAGTTTGAGATCTATACCTCCTATGTGTTACAAAATACAGAACATACACAATTTTGGCATATCTACTAGACCAAACTCCTCTGAACATGGAGCATACCTCTTTTTAGCCTTCCCCACAGTGGCAGATTTATTATCCAACCTCTACCTCTCCCTATATCCATACCCTTAATTGATGATCCCAGTCCCTACCTCTCCCTATAGCCACACCCTTTGTAGTATGACTTTAAAATCCCTCCCATTAAGAGGGGGAGTTTCAATAACTGGCCTGGAAACTGGCTTAGGCCAGTAGAAGATGGCAGAAGTGACAATGTGCTTAGTGCTTAGTTCTGAACCTAAGTGTTAAGAGGCATCACATACTTCTGTGTATACATGTGCTTGCCCTCTCTCTCTTAGAACTCTGCTACTATGAGAGACCAACAAGCCAGGAGGATGACGCACCACGCAGAGGAGAGTGCAGCTGCCCTGCTAAGGCAACCTTAGACCAGTGCACAAATAGCCTACCACCAACATGTGACAGAGCCCAGCCAAGATCAGCTGAGCAGCCTATCGGCTGGCAGCTAACTATAGTCACATGAGTGAGCCTGGCCAAGGCCAAAACCACCACCTCGCTGAACCACAGACTTGTGAGGAATAATAAATGCTTATTGTTTTAAGTATTATGTTCTGGAGTACAGGTAGTCCCTGACTTATGACGTATTTAAGTTATGACGAACTGCACTTACGACCCTGTTTTTGTTTTTTTAAATACATCTTATCTTTAATAATCAACTCAATGGCAACAGGTTTGGTTTATGTTTTTTTTTTTAATCATTAATAATATGTGCTACATACAATTTTGCAGCACATAATTTGCTGATGTTACCATTCTCAGGTGTTTACACGTAATGTTTCCAACCCTCAAAGACAAATAAAGATCAGATTTATAAAGATACTGATAATAAAAGGCAATAATAATCAAAACTAAAAAAAACAAACAAAAGAAACACGCACATCAGAACTAACTTATGATGAGGTTGTTGGAACGGAACACTGCCATAAGTCAGGGACTACTTGTAGTTTGTTATTCATCAATAGTTAATTGATACATCCTCTCTCAAAATCTCTATCACAACTCTGGCTCCTTCCTATAAAGAAAATGATCTCTGTTCCTCTTGGAGAAAATCAGACTAACACAGAGTCATTCTATTTCCTAGGAAAAAATGTGAACTATTGATCTTGACATTGTTCTTGTTTTCCTTTCCTGCTATATTAGAGTGTAACTCTTCCTTTTCATTGCTCATCCTTTCAAGCCTTCAGTTATACTCTCTGGCTCCCACAATACCCTTTTCTCTCTTCATCTCCTTCATCCTTTCGTTCTGCTCAGCAGCAGTACTCTGTCTGACAGCATATATAGTTTTCTCACACCTAAAAAAAATGTAAACCCTTTACTTAACCATTGCCACCTCAAGCTATTTCTCAATCTTTTCTTCCAACTGGAAAAATTCATCAGACCTATATTGGGAGAGTCAGGATACCAGCAAGCATGACGCATAACAGAAATTAAGAGCCTAAAATTATTTTCAAATAAATAAAACTAAAGAAAATTAAATAAATTAATACCCTATAGAATTTCTTTAAATTATATGAACTATAAAATGCATTTACTTACCTCAACATTTCTAATGGATTTGTCTCATGAACTTGGTTGCCACACCTTGGACAATCATTGCTATCTTCAAAGTGCTGGACAATACAAGTCTTACAGACTAAGAAGAAAGAAGAGGCCAGGTTAAAATGCATCATTTGAACTATTATTTAAATTTAAACTAAATGTAACTAGAAATAGTTCTTAAAAATTACCTACTGCAAGTAGAGTACTGTGCTTTAATCAAATTGTATAAAACCTTAAAATTGCAACCACGTAATAAAAACCAGCTGAAACAAAAGCCTACTGCCACAATATAAAAAGCATATCCTACATTGCTTATTATTTTTAAATATATTCACAAACTGAATAATTTATTCACACTACTTATATAAAAGCTGGTGCCTTTACATAAAACATTAGTTTTTCCCATTTAAAGCAGGACAGAGAAAAGTAAAAATTGATGTCTGCATTTACTTCTTCTGCTAAAATTTATCTGAATGCAATGTAAGTAGTTCTTAATAAAACTTCAGAAGTTTTCAATGTTTGGATTACTTTTTATTGGCAGGATGCTCCTAGGAAATTGGGAGTTACAATGGCACTTCTTGTCTTTGCAGAGTATGACGAGTTTGTCTTACAGGTACTGTAACTCATGGAGCACAAGGTGTGGGTCATGGTATCAAGCTGGTACAAAGGCATGAGGGGTAAACTGGAAGAATGAAGGAGAAATTGACAGGGATAATTAAGATTTTTTGTCTGTTTTTTTATTGCACTTTAGGTGAAGGTTTACAGAACAAATAGTTTCTCATTCAACAGTTAGTACACATATTGTTTTATGACATTGGTTAACAACCCCATGACATGTCAACAGTCTCCCTTCTCGACCTTTTTTTT